GGGAGGGAGGGAGGGAGGGAGGGAAGAAAAAGCTTTTATTAAAATGGTCTTTCCATAATACCCTGATGAAACACTGGCTGTGATCAGAGCTATAATGAGTAGCTAGTCCTTAGTAAACTTAATTGTTACACATGCAGACTAAACTGCATACAGTAAGGAAAACACTATCTAATATCTGCTTTAAAAGTTATTTAACCAGAACAAATCATCCGGGAAAGTAAAAAATATTTCTAACTGGAAAAATATTTCCCTATAGCTGAGCTAGGCCTGACAGCAAACTTTAATGAATTATTAGTACCTTTATTGTTTTCTTTGGCCCCTGTGCACTATATTTGTAAAAAAAAGTCAGTAAAAAAGAGAACAATTGTAAAAAGCAAATATTTTGTACAAAAATACAAAGTTTTAAAAGCTCTTAAAAGTATATTCCATATTATTGATAAGAGTTGGACTATATATATATATTTATATAAAATCTATATATTCGTGTATCTGTATAATTTTCCTACATTTGGGATTTTAGCAAATTGAGCAACTGTTTACACAGTTGCTTTATATGTTTTTCTATATGAGTGACCAACAGTCTTACTCAGATTGATAGAATGTCTTTCCTCAGAAGACATAAGCTGCTTATGGATGTGGTTACTGGTTGGGAAGAAAATCTAAAACAGAATTAGTCCAACAGTATTTCCTGATGCTGAGAGTCGAAAGGCCTTAAATAATTACAAGATGCTGGAGAAGAGTTATTGCTGAATTCCTTGATGCTGTTAAATCAGTTTTCAGTGCTTGCTTTTTTCTGTTTTCATTTTTTTTTCAATTTTGGAAGTCAGTGTTGCCCTTTCCCAGGATTTTCTTCTTCTTGACATAAATTTCCTTAATATGAAGGTATCTGTAAAGTTACAGCCTATTACACTCCAAGAAGTTGCCCTACAGTATGAGAGAAAACAAGAAAAACAAAGAGAAAAAGAAATCCTGTAAAAAGCCTGTGAAGATTAAACAAATTTCCAAAAAGAAAACTTACAGAGATCAAGGTATGTAAAAAATTTGAGCGGACTCGTATTCAGATCCTGTAAGTCCCGGAGGATAAATATTTGTAAACCTCAAAGTTTTCTTAAAATAACAAATGTATGTAGGAAAACCAGGGTAAATCATATTGTTACTTACACATGGTCCTTCACTCTGGACATCCAAACAGAATTATACACACAAAGCTTGTTCAGCACTTAGTTTTTTCTTAGGGGACTATGGATGAGATGTAATTTTGGCTCTAGCTGACATTTATGTCTCCCTTCACTGAAATTCAACCGACAAGTTTCCAGCTGGAGGAGCCAGGCGCCCTTGGCAAAGCAATGTTTAAACAGGTTGTATGGAAGAGATAACATTTCAGGCAGAGCCCCTCCATGAACACAAACACCAGCTTTGACCACGTTCTGTGACAATGGGGCCAGGCTCTAAGCAGCCATGGGAACCACCTGCCCTCTGCTCCTACAGAAATGCCTGTGTCAACAGAAAGAGATGCCCTGTGGCAAACACCTGGCTGACTGCTGGCCACGCTGGCTGTTTATGAGTCCTTCACTCCAGCTGCAATGGATGAGATGCTTATGGCCTATGGACCCAGCTTCTCAGTCCCATGGGACATCTCCTGGGTAATGGGAATTTTAAGATCTCCTTAGCAGTCACCAAGTGTCTACTATTGCACAAACTCTCAAAACAAAGTCTTTTTGGTTTTTGGAAGCTGGTTCCTGAGCCACCCTACGGCAAGCTTTCCCTGTTGTGTGGCCACTGACCCTATAAAGGCGGCTTCCAGTGTGGGTAGAATCTGGACCATGTGCCATATCATGCCCATCATTTTAGGGATGTGTTAAGCCTACAGGAAATGGTCAAGATTCTGAGCATTCCATGGCTATAGCCAGCTTCGAGGCTGCTTTGTCCAAGTGCAATAAATCCAGCACTTGCATCTGGATCTGAGTAGAATGCTCCACGTGTGATTCCCCCTCTTCCTCAACAAGGCACTGCTGTAGCATTTGGCCAACATCTCACCTCTAGCTGTGACATTTAATATGGGCAAGATGAAATAATTAAACCAAGGGCCTTGCTTACCTTTGTCCATGTCTTTTTCACAAATGAAATTGTTAACATCTTCACAGTAGAAGTCATTCCAGAGCCCAGCATAGATCAACCCAGCACAATCTTCCCCTGGTCCATGCCCGTGATTCCAGTTATCAGGCTGCCCAGTTTTCCAGTTTCTTTCCACAAAAAAGCAAGAGACATGATTGCACAACACAGCACATATGGCAGGTTTTCACCACAAGAAATTAACGAAAACATCATGAGATCTGTTCTGAACGGGAAACACACATTGAAACAAACAATACATGACTCTTGCTGAAAATGGAAAACAGATGTATTACAGAGAAGGGAATCTATTCAGCCTCAGGCTGCCAAAATCAGAGACCTAAATTTAGACCAATGAACTTTATTTTAGTTTCTGAGCGTACATGCACTCACAGTGGGAGTGCTCCATGCTCCAAGTGTATTGCTCCATGCCTGTGAAACCTGCACACCGCATTCCTGCTGGCAGATGGGACTGAGAAGAGCCCACAAGCTCAGAGGTAATGCCAAGATGCCAACAGCCTGCCCTTGCTCACTGCAAAGCCCTCTGACTGCACCAAAGGTGGGCATCTTGGGAGGAACGGCAAAAATACATGTGTTTGAGGACACGTGCTCAGATGGGAAGGGGATTCTATTGGCTTTTAAGAAATGCACACAGTAAATTTACACACATCTTTTGAGATCGTTAGCTTTGATGGCAAAATTGAATGTAGCAAGTAAAAAATCTTGCAAGTGTTTCCTCATCCTGTTTTGGTTTAGCGAGTGAGAAACGTTTCCAAACTCAGGATTTAAAAGCTCAATTTTCCTGAGGAAACAGGTTGTTGAAGGGAGCTTGTGATTGCTGGCTGACACAGTCCATGCTCAGCTAAAAAACATGCCTGCCTGACACAGAGCGTCCAACCAGGCACCTGGAAGGACACACAGCTTTCCAGAAGTAATGAAATACTCAAAAAATCTGTAACCAACAGATCTGAGGTTATGACAGAGCACCTAAAACCGTGGTGCAGTGGAAATCTACTAAAAGCAGCACCTTAAGGAGGATCAGTCACAGTGCTGCCATGAAGAGGAAGAAAGATGAAAACGGAAAAGGAGAAAAAGGGGAAAATATTACAGCTCATTTGAAATGAATCCGACTTTTTCCATGTTTTTCATCTAAATGAACACCAATGAGATCACAGCTAATCAATTTGTAACATCTGACTGACTGTAGCCTGTTTTTCTGAAACACAGCATGTTCAGATCTATAAACTCTTTAGTCTACTCCTCAGTATTAAAAATTTGGGTGGCTGCAATCTGCTCCATTTAGGACAAATTAGGTGTAACCCTAGGATTCCTGGAAAGCTGCCAATTCAGTTCTCAGCTGGCCAAAGCATAGACACCCTCATTTCATGCATTTTCCTTATGTACAATGCTTTCCACTTGGATTTGGGCTTTATGTAAAGACTGGTCATTTTTTATCAGAATGAGTACTCTATTTATAGCCAGTTGTAATGCAAATAAGGAAAATTCAAACCAAAACAGTAAAACTGTGCTTTCCATCTCAACTTTGTAATAAAAGTCAGAAGCAAAAGTTTTGGCAAGAAACACAGTGCTGCGTAGTTATGTGATTCTTTCATTCAACATTCAGTTTTCTTCTGGCAAGGAAAGGAATCCTTGTGCATGGAGAAGGCAGACAGAAAGAGCCACAACACCCTCAGTAACAAATTAAATTATTGGCATCTACAACCATCTGGATTCATTAGATAATATCTAGATGCTGCTTTTAGAAGTGTCGGAATATGTGATATTTACATGATCTTGAGATTGCAGAAAGTTTCTGTCTTTTAGCCTTGCTGCGAAAGAAGAAGTCATAACATTTGTTATGGTTTTTTTGTTGTTGTTGTTTGTATTGGTTTTTAAGGTTGTTTATTCTTGCTTATCTATAATATGTTCTGTCTGACTTGCAGCAGGTCTGTCTTGCAGGGCAGTGTGTGGGGCTCTGCCCCTCAGTGGGATGTTACAAACATTATATACCAGAAACTACATGTGCTGTATTTACAATAACATGCCAATATCTATCACCTACGTTGAACAGTGTGTCTCCAGTCTAAACCAAAAGAAAAATGTTAACACTACAGTGAAACATGGAAGACATGAAGAAGAAGAAAAAGGACAAGGTACGCTTAATTTTTTTATTTTGCTTCTTTTGAACCCCTTATCTAAAATCTTAAAATTCTACTTTTGCACCTGTGTCACACTAATTATTACTTATATCAAACAGAGCTTGTAAATCATCCTGTAAGATTGAAAACTCTTTTCTATGGACAGAGATCAAAGACAGTGTTTCTTGGGGCTCTGTACAGGGGGGTTCTTGACCCCCTGCCAGGGTCCCAGACTTTCTAGGGCAGCCAGAGGGGTGCCCTGGATTCCCACATAGAAGTGTCAGCATTGCTTTTTATTTACGTACGCGTAAACTGGTAAGGATCCATCCAACCATCTCCATTCATTTTCCTTCTCTGAATCTGTTAGTCCAATCCAGAAGCTGCCTTTCCCAATAATCTGTCTTTTTATCCATTGCTGTGAAAGAAAGATCTTAGTCCATAACAAGGACAACAGTTTGTGGGGCTAATATACTACACTGGTTTCATAAGCCTCTTGTTACTAGAATAGAGTGGGCCAGAGAAATTTTTCTAAGCAGAAGATGTTTCAGAAGTTGGCCTGGGGACCCCTTGCCCAGACTAGAATCCCTTTCAGTGTTTGCAAGGAGCTAGAGAGACCTAGGCATGAAAATTGGGTTGACATAAAGCTAAAGCAAATATCTTATAGACACAAATTGAAAAAAAAAAAAACAAAACAACTAAGAATACGGAATTGTATCTTGACATCTCCACTGCCATGTTGAATAGTATTAAAAATACTATTTGGACAGCAAAAACTATTGGTTAGATTATTTGGGTTATACTAGTCCTAGAATGAATGTATTAAATCAGATAATTTAAAATTAAATTATATTCACTGCTAAAAAAAATACTTTGATAGTACACAAAGCATAATGGATTCCATCTTTAAAGTTCAAAACTCTGTCAATTCTCAGCAGCTTTTCTGACTGCTCTGTCCCCATCACCTTCAGAGTCAGTATCAGTTCTACTCAAACTGCCCTTCTGCACAGGGATAAGCTGCTGATCAGGCAGAGGGCGGACAAAATTCTAATGAATGAATCAATGTGTTTACTTCTACTGTATGAATTCATGGTGCTCTCAGCTTCCCACTATCTTGTGATTTCTACATGTTAAACAACTTCAAACGTCCTCCTTGAAAAACAGCAAGAGAAGCTAAGTACCTGCTCCTCTTTGTTGTTGATGATAACCAAGCGCGATGCTTTCTCTTCACAGAATAACTTTGCCTCTTCAAAAATTTCTCTTTCAACTGAAAAGTAGTAGCACTTTTCCGTATAGTTCTTCCAATGGGGAGAACAACCTGTGATGTGAATTTTTTTGGTGTTAAGCCCATTATTGGTAACTCAGCAGAGCAGTAACAGGGTCAGTAATAAATGGAGAAGCCCATACCCATGCACAGCCTGCAGTGCATTGATGGCTTACCGTTAGCCTCGGGTACGGGCGTAGGTTCCCTCTGCAGTGCCATTGGCATCCCTGGACCTGGCGGCCCTGGTGGGCCAGGGGGGCCCTTTGGGCCAGGCAGCCCAGGGACTCCAGGGAGTCCGGTTATTCCTCGTGGTCCTGGTAACCCTGGGCTTCCCACAGTTCCTTGCAGGCCTTGAAATCCAGGCGGACCTTGCGGCCCTGGTGGCCCATCCTTGCCTGGTGGCCCTGGTGGCCCTGGGTCTCCATTCGGTCCAGGCAGACCTGTCTTTCCCGGAGAGCCTCTCTGCCCTTTGGAGCCAGGCGATCCTCTTGAGCCTTTCCCACCTTTTTCTCCTGGTGGCCCGGCTGGCCCAGGTGGGCCCTTCTCACCTGCAGGTCCTGGTGGTCCAGGCTCTCCTTTATCTCCTTTTGGTCCTTTTAGGCCAGCGGGGCCAAGAGGACCTTGAGGGCCTCTGTCACCTTTAGGTCCCCTTGGACCAGGAGGGCCTGAAACAATGAAAGCATGCAAAGTGGGGATATGCACAGAAAGCAAAACAAAAAGCCCACGCGGGGTGGGCTTGTTTAATACATCTCAGACCAGCACCACTGGATATTTAATAACCGTGCTAACAGCTGCTTTAATCAGTGCTTGTAATAGTGCAGCTGCATCCCAGGTCCTATACAGTGTTGTCCTTCCCTTGACCTCCACAAAATACAGGATACAGAAAATACTCTGATACACCCAGCCATGTGAACTGGACAGTGACACCATGCCCCAGGTGACCAGCCAAGGTGCCAGCCCCTGCAAAACTCTGTGCGCTAGTCTACGCTAGTGCACCAATCCTGTGTGGTGGTGGTCCTGTTCCCTCACTCTGCCACGCTCCCTTCTCCTCTGGTCTCATTCTCTACTCTCAGTCCCAGGACTCTTTCTCCTGATCCTGTTTGTTGGTCTGTCAGTAACAGGGTGTCAAAAAGAGACAAAATGATGGATAATGAGCAAAAGGCTAACTGTGGGGAAGACCAGAAGTTGCAAATTGGCCAGCTCTAACAAGACAGGGAATGATAACCTATGACAGGAAATGACAATTCTGTGACAGCAATAAAGAACAAAACAATTTGGGATTCTGTTAATAGATAAGCAAATCCCTTGTCAATATCTTCCCACCCCCAGCATGAATCTACATTATTCAAACTTCTCCAGAGATAGATTTCCAAGCTGCAATCATTTAGGCCTGGTTGAAATGAGAATGGTTAAGGTTACTGACATGTAATCTTGGCTCTAATGCAGCTGTAGTTTATTTGGAGCAATGGATTTATATTTGTGATTACAGGTTTAGGCTGGTTCACATCTGATTGGAAATATGAGTGTTCTTTTCATTTGGGATAATATTTGGCTGGGATAAACCTCCTAAACCTGATGCTATTTATTTCTGGAGAAAATAAAGTATCCCAGGATTACAAACTAAGCAAAGTAGGATGTTTTCTGGCAGACTAACAACTGGCTTAAAGTGAAATAGCAACTTGTTTTTCAGTAAGGGTGGACTTTCCTGGGAGTAGTCCAACATATATTTTTTAGCCATTTCCTCCTTACTGGGGATTGGTTTCTTGAGGTTCCACACCTTCACTCGCTTATTTTAGAAACTGAATCAAAAACAGATCCAGTCAGTCAGTCAGACAGAATAAAATTTTGCTAAGTCAGAACCTTCTTTCATAACATCCCCATTTTAGCTATGTAAAAAAAGCATAGAAAAAATAATATGGAAAATTCAAGCTGCATGTACATTTCCAAAGTTTAGTATTAGATAATGGAAAACCTCAGGACTCTGTACCAGCACGCACTAACTTCCACAGAACTAAAGAAGTAATGCAAGCAGGAATTCAGCACACACACGTCATTAGGGAATTTGCATACCTTGTAGGATAGTGAAGTTCTTGATGAGCTGGCCATGTTTAGAATCCACCAGCTTCATTTCTTCCATGATTACTGACAAATTGGCAATTTCAACATCTAACCTTGACCTCATCAAATCCTGTTGCACCTTGAGAGATGCAGAGTCTATGCGAATATTGGCTAGTGTATTATGCATAAGAATCAATTCATCTGAGTGTTTACTTAAGGTGTCCGTACAAGTCGTCCTGACCTCATTGAGATCGCTCGTCAGTGTCCGTAGGTGATGAGCAGTGTAGCTGATGTTGCTGATGATATTGACTATATCAGTTTCAAAGACCTGGAACCTTTCTTCTAGATGGCTGAATTTGACAGCAGTTCTGTTTTCATCTCCTTTATGCTGTTCCTGGAGATCCTTTAGACTTTGTTCATTGGCTTGGGCAATTGTGGTGATATTCTCCATCTGCCCACTGAAGGAGCTGAGCTGATTGTTCATGTCTTCAAGTGTATCATTGTTGGCTTTTGCCATTGCTGAGTTGTTGGCAGCCAAAGCCTGCAAATTGTGTACTTTCTCCTTAAGCCAGTCAGTATCTTTCCGGGCCTGAAGGATAACCTGCTGCAGATTTTGAAAGTCATTCTTGATTCTTACAATAGCTGAGTTTGTATCTTCCATTGACTTCTGTAAGATACTGATAAGATTTCTTTGCTGTATTTGAGTCAGGTTTAAGTTGTTAAGGCTCATGATGACCATGTTATGAGAATGCTCTTGGCTTTGCAAATTTGCTTGTATATTACTTGTGTCTTGTTGGAGATTGTTGATATAGCCAGTATATGCCTGGAGAGTTTTATTGACACTGATGATCATGAAAGAGTTACTGTCTAAGGCACTTTTCATTTGGTTCTGTCTATCATCTAATAAATCTCCAGACTCTTGCAGCTTCTCCAGTGTGTCTTTGTTTCTGCTAGTTTTCTCTGCAATGTCATGAAGCTGCTGACGAAGAGCCAGAATGTCAGATCTGAAGCTGGACAGTTCAGTGTTAGTATTTAAGGCTTTTTGTCCAGCTTGGTCATCTGTTGTACAGGGAAAAAAAAAAAAAAAAAAAAAAAAAAAAAAAAAAAAAAAAAAAAAAAAAAAAAAAAAGGAACAGCTTTAAACACAGTTTTTTTTAAACACAGTACAAAACAGCACAGTGTATTTTAAGAACAGTCAGGTTGTCAAACTGTTCAGTAGAACTTTTATGCTATCTTTTCCAGAAAAGAAAAACTACTAAGCAAAGTTCTGCCTCTAGACAGAGAAAAAAAGCGAAAAGGAGTTGATGGAGACCTTGTGTCTTGCTGAGGAGAACAAAATGGTGATTCTGTCATCATGAATGGGAAAAAATATGGTTAGAAACTCATGACTATATGCAATCAAGAATGTTGTGCTCTGAATGAAAACTGAATGGGAGACAGAATTTAAATCATTAAACAGGTATCAGGAAGTGTAGGTTTTGAAGTTACAACTGGATTTTGCTGAAAGCTCAGAAGTTTATTTTAACTGTTCACGTTTTCCTCTTTCTTTTCATTGCATCACCTTCATTGTGATTTAGGACATATAGTTCTGATTTTAAAAATCTTTGGTTTATCTTTAAGTAAGTTCCCATACTTATTTTAAAGCAATCTGGGTTAGAGACAAAAACTTTGCCATCAGGCTACTTCAGATATGTCAACATAAGATATATCTCTGGTTTTCTCTCTAATACATTACTATTGCTTTTAATGACATTTATTTTGACATTATTGTTTCCTCATGTTCTGAGTTTGAGGAAGGAAAACCTTTAATTTTTGAGAAACATCTCTGCCTGGGCTTATATTGCCCTATGGAATACTTCTGGAAGCTTGTCCAAGTATGATAAAGCATTTGAGATTGCACAGCCTATCATCCAGGACATAGAAACCAAGGAAGTAAGCAGTCAACACTTGCTTCAGGGAAGACTCCCTTGCTTGACCTCAATCACTTCACTATCCTGCTCACAGTCCATATATTTTCATCCTCGTCTACATGTAGCTATATTTATGAATTAGACAGTCTGAAGACCATAATTTCAGATTATGCCAAGAGAGAGCAATATGGTTTTCATAAATTACAGTGAATACAGCTGTGTATGGTGCTTTTGTCTGCTTTTTGTCTGGCGTGATTAAATGAGTCATGATGGCAAATGTCATATGATGGCTTGTGAGACTTCAGTCTGAAGTGTTTATGGAGTCTTTTGCGGATGGACATCTTCCTGAGCACAGTTCCTCTCCCTGACACTTCTTTCATCTCCAGATCTTCTCAGCTCTGACTCTATGTTTACCTCTTGGCTGTAGCTCAAATTATATTGTGTTCCTCACTCAGCTCCAACAACTGCCAGGTCCACATGCAGCTAATCCCTGAAGGCCTGTCTTCCATTCACCACACTTTTTTATCCTGGCCTTACAGCACCTCTCTTACTTTTATGTCTCCTACTCAAACTGCTCCAGGGCTTTACTAACTTTCTCCATGGCAAGTCCACTTAAATGGAAACTGATTATCCTGAGCATCCAGCCAGCAGTGTGTAAAAATATGTGGCCATGAAAGAAGCAAAGGTGCTCCAAGTAATGAAAATTTAATCAGCATAATATAATAACCCAAATAGAATCCCAAAGGTTGCATGAGCAACCTTTACAGAAGTAAAGTGTAACAATTACTTCTGTAGATGTGTCAGTAAAAGAACATATCACTGAATTACATCATGTCTTTGAACTAAATGTAGTGTGCAAATATTTTAGAAGCCAGCTATTTTGAGGGAAAAAAGTTGTAAAGATTTACAATCAAGCTGCAAGCAAGGAAGTTTTCCTAGAAATACATGTCTCAATATATGGTTTAGAAAACTAGTCAAAATTGATTTTTTTTTTAACATCTTCCTGAAAATGGAGAACTTTGATGGTACTTGGGAGACCTAAACATGTCTTATGTCCTGTATTCCTTGAGATGATCAAGAAACAATTTATGGAAGTAATACACTTGCCTAAGACATAAGAATTTTGAATAGCTGATTATTTGTGTACCTTGTAATGTGGTCTTCAGTTTTGAATCTTAATTGCTAAAACAGCATCAAAATGACTGGGTGACAGGTGCTCATTTTATGTAGAAGCCTTTGTGCTGTAGAACAACTACTGTTATGTTTTAGATCTCTACCTCAGAGAAGATTCTCTGAAAGACAACATTTAAGTGTCTGTTTATTTAAGTATAAATGTTTTCAGAGTGATTTCAGTGGAACTGTACATTTTTAAGTATTCTTAAAATGCTTGCCTAAGTAGAGCTGATCTGGACTATTTTTAAGTACTTTCCCAAGTACTTGAGAAACTGGAATGGAAGTGCTGTATCTTGTCATAAGCAGAGATTTTCCAGACAAATTTCCTGCCTCAATCTGCCAGGAGAACACCCCAAGTCCATAATACAAAGGGGCTTTGCTTGTGTGTAGATTACCTAATTTCTTCAGATCACTCTCCACTTCTGTGAGCTTTTCTGTGTATCTTCTGTGGGATGTTTCCAGGCCACCTGTCACATTGTCCATTTTTTCTACAACTAGGGGAGAGAGAACAGTGTGTTATGAAAAGAAGAAAAGGGAAATTATGAAAAAAGACAATAAAGCAAACAAAACCCCACACCATTACCACCAAACAATAAAAAAAGAAAACACCTTATAATTGCCTTGCTTGCCATTACACACTGCTGTTGCTTTGTGAAATGTTGGAAGGATGAGCTCCTATTTGCTGGTGGACCCAGAATTCTTCTACTTCTTCAGTCTGACAGCAGTCCCTAATGATTTTTTTTTGCCCATGAGAAATCTCTCTCCTGAATGAGGAAATGCCTCTTTGTGGGTTTTTCTCACAAAGTCCTTTTCTTTTAACAATATTTCCATGCTTCAAGCATAGTTCTGTGTGGCAAAGGAAAATGGATTGCTAAAGGCTCAGATGTGTGAAAGAAGACTTCATTTAATTTTGCTATGAGCCATTTCTCCTTAAAAAGAATTTTTTTTCTTGTGCCTTTTCATCATTAAAATTTGCCACCTGGATAGCAAACTTAGAACTGATAGTAACTATTAAATGTTTTGGGGGGGTTAAACATATTGATAATGGCACAGATCACTCAAAACAGTCTTGAAATGATTCTGCCTCATTAAGATTGAAAGGCTGGTCATTCAGGAAGTGCAGATTTATGACTGATGTGTGCTTTATTTTGTAATGCCTGAGTATTTTTCTTGTCACTGAGACACTCAATTATTTGATGAAGTTAATATGGGAATGGAAAAAGCAGAACAACAAAAAAACAGCCCGGGGTGGCTTCCAGTGGCAAAAATGTGAAACGCTTGCAAGGTTAGAGGTAGCCTACAGCTTTCACACTAGACTTTGTCTAATAGCCTTTTGCAGTCAAGCCACAACCAGGGGTAGAAATTGCTTCTCATAATGAGATTATGTAGTCCTTTTGCTACACTGGGAACAGAATGGGTCTGTAACAACCCTGAGAGAGGCTACACAAGTTATTGTGCCAACTCCTTTTTCAAACAGAAGAAATAAAGTGTTTCCCATGTTTTGAGGTTCTGTAAACCTGTGTGGAGTAGGGGTACCTCTTAACTCTTTCTGTCTGTGAAATGATCTGCAGCTAGGAAAGAGTCTCATAAAAATTGTTGTTATGTAAAGATTTGAGTTTTCACAAGAAGTGAAATTTAGGAATCTTTTGCTGCTCATGAGTGACCACATGAATCCCAGACTTTTAAAGTGTAGTCCATCAGTTGCTCCTTCTTTATTAATGTTTGCATTTGTTTTTCTGATTCTGGGTACCACTGTTACACTGGAGGCTTTTACTGCTTCCCCCAAACATGGGAAAAACAGACCAAGACTATTTGATGGAACATCACTGAGGACTTAAAACAGAAAAATCTCAGAAGCTTCAGAGAGCCCATACACCCTTTATTGAATTACCTGCCTGCTCCTTTCTAGGCTGCTAACAACCCAGTAAAACAGAGACTTTACTATGTGTGCAGTCAGTCAGAGTGTGGCTTTCTGTATTCAAGATGATGACAGATTGCTTGCTAAACACCAGACCCAGGCTACAATAAAAGCTTTGCTTTTTCAGAGGGACAGTTGCTCAATATCTTCTGCTTTAGAAAGCATTTTTCTCCCCAGCATAGCACTAATTTTTCACTGGTTCTTCTGCCCATTAAGGTTGTCAAAATGCTATATGCCATTTTTCCTAAATGAAACCAGAGTTGATTCTCTGTTTATCCTGCCCTGCTGTCTTCCAGGCTGGAGCCCAGATCAACAAAGGTTCTTCAGCTACTTCTGACACTCCACTGATGCATGTATACGCCTATGCATCACATGCAGAGAGAGTGAGGACTTGGCTTTTCCTTCTGGCTCTAGGCAGCTCCTTGTTCAGTCTGTGGTGTTCTCCTTTGTCAACAGATAGTCATTGCCAGGGCATGGCTCACTCTGGGCACTTAGAGGGACCTTATGAAATCATCTGTATTTAAAAAGCAGGCCTAATTCAATTTCTGCTGAACCTGTGCCTTGACTAGCAATGCCACATCACCTACGGTTCTTGTTAATTCAGTTTTTGTATAATATTCAACTGTTTCCTCAGTTATGCAACACACCTGGAGTTGGCAAATGAATATATATTATCAGTCATTAAAAGAAAAATGTAATTTCTTCCTTTTGATGTCCAAATGAATGCTAGTTTGTACTTCAGATCCGAAGTTTGTAAAACTAAACTATCATGTAACAAGTATGTTTTCATGGTTGTATGAAATCGAACATTGGAAGCTTGAGTTAAAATATAACCTTGAAGAATCCAAAGCAAATATAAACAAAACAGTAGTAGTCCTATCAATAAGTAGTTGTCTGGCAGTTAAATGAAACGGAACAGAAGTAATTATACAACAGCATATGGTATTTTCACTGTTCAAAGTGAAAAAAAACCCCAAACCACCGAACTCCAGCAGCAGAAACAAACCTGGTCTCTGCAAACCTGACTGCAAGGTTAGCTCAAGGGCTAAGCTGCCATCCCATGGATAAACCAGTGCATGTATTTGCTTTATATTGGGGTGGGATCTTAGCCTCCATGGTCAAATAAATTATGGGTTTGGGGAACTTGATCCCCTGCCCAAACTCCTTCCCAAAGCAAGTTGTAGCTTATTTGCTTTTCTTGCTATTGCCCTGCAAGTGAAAAGGATGAATTTGGGAGAGAGTGAGTAGCAAGAGGCCAGAGTTGAGTTTTGTTGCTCTTGATATATAAGAGGTCTTATGGACCAATGTCCTGTTATTGGAAATGTCTTTCCTTCCCTGGTAGTAGCTGCCACCACCACCTCTGGATGGAGCCTTCAGTGGTAGATGAGCATATGGAACACTCTCAGGAGTGGAAGTCAGTGTCTAGTAAGTGCCCCAGACTTGAACAGCCACTTTCCACCTTCTCCACAAAAAGGCAAACAGGCAGATCAGCTGTAATATCCCACACAAAAAGTTATTCTGCTGCTCCCAACAATCTGCCCACTCTTGAAAAGGCAAAGCTCTACTTTTGGTTAACTTCACCTTAATTCACAGCTTGGTCTGTCTGCATTGTCATCTCATTTTCTGACAAAAACACAGTGGAAAATGTGGCAAAGGTCCTCTAAAGGAAGGCCAGATTTCAAATAGTTGCTGACCAGAACAGTGCAAACTGACTGCATCTAAGCCACTATGACAAAATGTGCCATTTCACCAGGATGTGTTGGCCCCAGGTAATGGCAGACAAACTATGTCTGAGAGACAGATAAATGAAGCAGATTAAAGTCATGGTGGGCATTACTCAAGAAACTTAGAAACAAGGATTGACTAGAGAATAAAAACTACCAGAAATTCAAGCTGCAAGCATTCCCGTATTGGAATGAGCCACAGGAAGATAATTCATCTTCAATAAACTAATCTGACACCAGCTGGTGCCAGAAAAATTATAACTTTGTATTTTTCATTTAATTTAATAAAGTATGTGCAAAAATTGCAGATGGCTTTATTAGCATTTTAAACAACAATTTATCAATTGTAATCTCAAAGCAGAAGAATACTAAGCTTGCCTTGTTATTCCTTCATGTTTTTTTCCCTTGTTATTCATTCATGTTTTGGTCTCAGGGTTCTCCAACATACTATGTAATTTTTACCACTAGTTTGGAGGTTTATTCTGTGTTGACTTTGCCTCCCATTGAGTTACTTTTTTGCTTGCTATATTTAATCCACTGATTAGTAGTTTTAACGTTTTAAATCACAAAGGATATTTAAATGCGACATAGGAAATTAAAGTTTTAAAAGTAGTTTTGGGCTTTATAAACATAAGTGTGGGAGGCAAATTTAATGGAAACTTAGCTAAGAGACTGAAAAATCCCTGATGCCAGCAAAATTCCTTCTTTCAGTGTAATATTGCAGTAAAAAAGAGAAGCCAAATTCTAATACAGAGAGGAGAATTAAAGAACAATATACTTTTATTCAGAATTTTGGTCTTCCTTTAAGGCCTAATCCCTTTTCAACAATCAAAACTATTGCAGTAATTAATTTGAATATGTACTGTCAGCCAGGGTTTTATTTAACTTATGTTTTCCCTGCAAATTAGCATGTAGGTACCCGGAAGACAAAGCTCTTAAACTGCAGGTGCAAAGGGCAGAATTATTGTATCATTTGCTGCTTGGTGTTACAGAAGTTACTTGGATTCAAAAAGACTTTTGTCTCTCTGCCTCTTTTCCTTGGCATTCAAATGTTGCAATCACCAAGTCTGTGAGCAGTGGAGCAGTGGTCACCAAAATGTCTTAGGGTCTGTGAGCAAGATATTCATTATCCACCTTCCTACAATCCCTTTGACATTTATTTTTGGAAGAGGGAATTCTTTTGTCCTTGTCCTGGATAGCTGTGATTTGGTACTGCTGTGACAGAAAAACTCATCCCTGATGAGTGACTGCTCATTCAAAGAAGGAAGTTTAGAAATGAGTGAAGCAAAATTTGAGCCTCAAGAATAGAGCAAAGCCTGGGGAAAAGATGGTGCGAAGGGCCCCCATAGAGAAAGAAGCTTGAAAATTAGATTGAAATGAGGAGGAAAAACTCCTTCTCCCAAAGTCTCCTGGACAGTTTCCTTATTGCTACAGCTTCCTCTACACATGCAAATAATTTGCCAAAGCAAGATAAAGAGCAGTATTCTCTCCAACTTGATATGCTGCATCTGATGTTGAGTGAGGGCTGAGTCTTCTGGGAAGCCCCAGAACTGAAAGTCTTATATAAAACTCTTGAAGGAAATTCTGCTAAATCCCAGTCATTTAGTGCCTGGGTTAAATCTGGAAAGATCCCATTCTCATTTGATGTAAGCAGATCTCTGCAGGTTTATATCTGGAGGCAAAAGGCCTCCCCTAATCCATTTGACCAAATGATCTTATATTTATAGATCAAGAATATGTTTTTGAATCTTGCAAGGCTTTTTGTCCCTCAAAATCTGACTTCCAGAGACCACTTACTTCAAGAGATGTATTCACATATATGTACTGCATTTTTTTACATTTGATGTGAAATTGCCACCTTCTGTCTGCTTTATCATGAAACAAGCTTACCTAAGTCTCTCTATCTGTTCCTCACATTCTCTCTATTCCCTGGATAAATCTTCCACCTAAACAAAACAGTTTTAATTTTCTCCCACTCGAAACTCTGCCAAATCCCCTTAAATAATTATTTATCCTTTCTATTTCTACAATTTCCTTTTCTTTCCCTGGCAAAGGACCAGAGGTGATGTCAGCTCTGCTATGAGTGCAGCTGTTGGCAGCACAGGATGCACTGCATGCTAATCACATGAATATTTACTCAGCTCCTTGGAGGGGTTTTGAAGCTAGTCTCAAAGCCATACTCAGACAGGTAGTTTAGAACTAGCTTGGTTTCTCTGCAACAAGCTGTGATGCCCTGTTATAATGCTCACAATGATGTTGTTCACTTTCCTTTTCATGCCAGAAATTCACATCTTACTTATTTAACTTATTATAGCTGTAGCTGCACCATAAGCAGGTATTTACATCAAAACATTTTTATAAATGCCTAAGTGGCTACAGTTAATTTGTGATAAGAATTTATGGGAATTTTAAGCCATGTTTCCCAATGTGCCCAACCAATGACTTGCACAAATTAAATTCTCTCCATTCCTGGGTTGTTCAACTACCAAAATCTTTGAAATTACTGTTAAAACCATCTAAATGTCTTTGTTAATTACAATTATTGTGGACAATACACTGGCACCTCATGGTTTAATTTTTCTTCTTCCAGATATTTCAAAGTAATATTGATACTACATTTTCTTCCTGTGATAAATATTATATTAGTAAGATATTGCTGTCTGTTGCACAAGTTACACAGCTTTGCCTCTTCCAGTACTCCTTCTTGGTGGAGGAATGATTATTTTGTTTTAACTTTCAAATGTCTAATCTGGTTTTAAAATGCCATAGTTATTTGAAAGCAAAATTCTAAGGTTGCAGTTTGATGTTATGTACATACGAAAAAGCCAACATTGTCCAAGTACTGATATTTAGGCTAAAATGTGACAAATTCCTAGCTAGTAAGTGACAACGTGTTTGGACACTTGTCTGAAATGTTGCTCTCAATGCATACATACCTTTGTATCCCAGAATGGCTACTGTGATTGTTAACAGGGCACATAAAATGTATAATAAAATGATGGAGAACTTCAGTGCCCAGTTATTTTTACACTTGGTACATTGACTCCCCTCCTGAATACCTGCAACAGAAGATTTAAAGAAATTTAAAGCAATTGCAAAGAACACATTGCTGGGTTTGTCTCCCCATCTCCTTCCCTCTATTTTCTGAAGAGCAAATTATTTGTCTCAGCAGATGATGTTTACATATGGTGCCTATTTGCCTATGCTGCCAGGATAAAAAAATCATGGTGGTTAGAATATCTGTTCAGTGAAACAATCACTTTGGGATTTTAGCATGTGTAAGAGAAGTAGGTTCTGCTTCACTGGACAACCTCTGGCTTTCCTGAGAGGTGGCTGTTTTCTGATTGTGCTAACAAGACTGTGGTGAGTTTTTGAAATAAAACCTTTATTAGCATGTCCTCTGTCAGGCATCACACTGCAGCAGCTCTTTCTTAGCATTTGGTATCCCTATGGGGGCAATAGGACACAACAAATGTTCTGGCAGAAAAAACCCACAGAAAAAAAAGAACATTGTGAAAAACTGGTAGGAGTAGTTCTGCTTTGTAACAATCACCACAGATAGTTGCCATGCAAACACTTTCTTTCCAGAATGAGAGAGACTTCTTGCATATTTTTAGGGGGTTTTGGAGGACACTATTTTCACAGAAAAAAAAGGGGTGCTTTACTGGTACAGCAATCCATTCATCCACAGAAAAAGTGCTGGTGAATTTCTCTTTGTGGACAAGCTTAAGAAAAACTGCCTCAAACTGCTGAAAGAAAACTAAATTTAAACTTTTTTCCAGAACAGCTTGATATCTTTGAGTCTATTAGGGAAGCACTTTTCCTCTGTTAGGGAAGCACTTTTCCTCTTTTGTGCTCCTTGGAAATAGCTCAAGAGTGTTGGGAGCATGGATTATTAATCAGAAGCACAAATGTGTAAAAACCTGAAAACTGGACTGATGTGCTGGAAGAAACAGACAGGGTTTATCTGTCTTTCTAAGGTGTGTTAAGCAGGCCAGGATTAACGTAACTTTCTGTGTCTGTCAGAAAATGCATTTCTTTGATATTTCACTCTATTTGTGTACTATTAGGGGAGTCCCACAGGAAAGCTTTAAGCTCTAATAAATTCTATGTACCAGATTACTTAACTAATCAAAACTTGCTCTGTAGCTTTTTATGAGTAACTTATATTTCCCCTGAGGCCTAACACACAGATGATTTTACTTTTCCAAACACATGACCTTCTGCAGAGTGGTTTTTTATTTTTCATTTTTTTTAAGAGAAAAGCACAGGCCACTTCCCCCTGGGTTCAAGAAGGATGGGTGACCAACATAATGAGTTAAGTCAACTGCATTTCTCTCGCCAATGACATTTTCCAATGGCTTCCTGTAACCTAAGATACTTGAAGAAGGAAGGATTACCATATTGGAGCAACTGAAGAAGAGGATTTATACTAAGTTTATTTGACAAGGCATTTTTTTCAATCCTCTCTGCACATATACTCACTGTGGGTAAGGCAGAAATGCATTCTTTTCAGGTCTTTTCCACCTTATATTACATCATCACATGTTTTTTCTAAATTTTTCAGGTGTGACATCACATTCTGTTGCCATGTGATGAAAGTGATGTCATAGATTTGGGTTCCTTGTGGTTTAGGCATAAGACCAACTGGGAACATCTGGTTCTTTTTTAAAGAACGTTATGGGAAAATGAGACAAAGGCTTGTAAGCATAAACTCAAGAACAGAAATTCCAGAGAGTAAAGGCTTCTCTTCTGCCTGTGGGATGGGAAGGGATGGAGCTGGCACAGAGACAGGCAGTGGCATAGCCCATTTATTGGTGACTTGGATTTGGAAGGGTGGTAACTCCTGCACCACAAAAAAAAAAAAAAAGGTGAAGGGTCCATAATTCAGTAGTCAAGTTTGCTTATGGATCCTGATGCATGGGCTGACTTGCTTTCTTTGGTTTGCAGTCTCAAGGAGTTTGCTGGTGAGGAAGCTTGTTAACTGCTGAAAAAGCAGGAAAGGGAAAGTGCAGTTTTCTAAAGGTTTGCAACAGGTATTTGGAGACTGAAATGATTTCAAAGTGGGAACTTTGTGGTGTCTGGGGCACCACCATATTGTTGGTCTTAGCCAGTACTAATGGGCTCATTGAGCCCCTGTGCTCTAAATGCAGGGTTCCTTCTCACTGAAGGATTTAAAATTCATATCCCGATTTGGTTGTCTTTGAATGTCCCACATATCCAAAAATAAGCTCGGGGCAAAAATCACATCACATTCACTTTCTAAATACACAGACAAACAGAAAGCTTGATCTTCCTTATTTTAATGTTAATTGAAGCAGGCCTAGATCCTTATCTGGGAAAAATGATAGACTGCAGAGGTACAAAACCCAGAGAAAGGCAGAAATAAAAACAAAGCCTTTGGCAGCAAATGCACAATGAAAAGTTTCACTTGATAAGTGTCTCATAGTAAGATTACTCATTTTATGACATGACCTGCTTTCTGTCACTGTACTCCGGCTTCCTGGGTAGTGTAACGAGCTGAAACTTCACCGATGTCACTGGATGTATTGCAGCTCAGCATCAAGCATCATGTATGTTCCCGTGCTTCATAGGGATCTAGTTTCACTTGTCTCAACCCTCTCTACCCCTGGTTCAATAAAACAGCACTTTGGCTTTTTGGAACTTTTTGTTTCAGTGTATTTCAAACTGACATCAGAGCAGCACCCCAACAAAAGCCAGACCTCTCCATCCTTTCACAGTCCAGCATGGTTGGTATCAATAACACGGGCACATCATACTAAAACCATCATACAGGCTGGAGTGATTCCATTAACTAGCTGGCCTGGAATTATGTACTGCATTCCTTACTGGGGCTTTCAGCCTGTCAGCCTAAAACTTCTGATTGCAAATGAACCCCTGCTACCCTCATCTAACATGACCCAGGTCCAGGGCTGGAGTGAAAAGCCAGGAAGCTCTAACAGGCTCCTTTGTTTTCTTTTACCTGGGATACAGTAAAATCTTTCAAAGCAATTATATTTGCTCTTTAATATAAACATGTAGTGCTTAACTGTGCTGCTAGTAACATGAGACTTTTTAGTTTACTAAACATATAAAAACTACTACAAAAATACCAAAGATATAGGTACCCCTTGATGTCTTTCTGAGCAATTAAATACATCAGGCTATATGCAAAAGCCATGAATGCAACCCTCTCTGTATAGAGACGAACTACAGTATAATCAGAGCTCCCCAGATTCCCCAGCACACACCCTGACTTCAGCTTGCCCTGTCTTTCTTCCCCACTACCTCTCTTAAGGATCATGCCCAAATAAGATTGCTCTGATATAGGAGATGAATTTAGTTCATGTCGTGAGGACACAGTTTATTTGAGTTGTTTTCAAAACATATGATAGCCAAAATATTAAGCAACAACAAATGGGAGATAATTAAAAATGCTTACTGTGATTACACAAAACCCATCAGGTTGGCATAAAATCATACAGGTTTACCACAAAAGCTGTGAGTTGAGGCATGAAGGAGCCTATGCTCAGGCTTTAATTTGGCAGAATTTCCCCAATTTTATCCACTAGACTGCTTGCTGTTATGACTGACATAAAATGCAGAATTCTTCCAGGAGATGTATCACATTTCATCTAGAAAGCTGTAGACTAAATGGAAAGGGAAAGACCCTACACACGCATCCCACTGACAGAACAAATGGAAAACCTGCAAAAGGGCATTCTTGGCCGAAGTCAGCTCTTCCCCATTTGTTAATGATGTTCGTAGTGCAGCACACTCCTCTCTGTGTCCTGTACACGTGTTTTCAATGTTGGTCTGCTCCCAGACTTTTGTCACTGACTTCCAAACCCAGGGAGCTGGGGTCACTTCCGCATGACATGCATTTCTCACTGCTGATTTGATCAATGTTTAATAAATATCAGATGGGACACAATGTGCCTCATTTCACTGGACATTCGCTTTTTTCCATTCCTTTCCCTGACTTATTTTAATAAGAGCTCTGGTTTTTCTGCCTCACTGTTGGGAAGACATCTGGCCAAACAGACAGCAACCTAGTACAAAGAGATCCTGCTGGCTCACATGCTTTGGGGACCCCCTTCTCTACAAACCAAAATGCTCACAAAAAAATATGCAAGTGAGACATCCCCCTGTTACCAGGCTTTGTAGTATTTGTTTTTATAGCATTGCATTCCAGTGACTGAAGACTTTGTTCTCATGCAGGGGGTATACATCTGCAGATTCCTTTTGGGCTCTAAGAAGAGGTTTTGCTGAAGGAGAACCTGAGTTTTATTTGTTTGGGGATTTTTGTTGTTGTTGTTGTTGTTGTTGTTGTTGTTGTTGTGTTCCATGGGAAACACTACATGCATGTTGTATTTAATGGGAGACTAAATAGCTTTGCTGTTTGTAACCACCTTACAAAATGCCTGACTCCTCAACTGTATTTCATCTCAGGAGCACATCTTTGAACACTGGAATAAGACATGCACACACTTTTTTTTTTTTTTTCCCTCTGAATAATTCTTTTATAAGTGTTTGCCTCTGCTTTTTGTTGGCTCTGGCTGCAGGATCATAGGTGGCCTCATAATATTTCTGCTAGCAAATCAATTTTAACAAAGATACAAGGTTTCCTTCATAACCATGACAAGAAATAAGAATAATCATGATAAGATAAGGAAATGTAGTGCAGGAAATGAAAATACATTAGTTTGGAGGGGTTTTCCCCAGTGTGATTCACTGAAAAGCAATAACATCCCCTGAATTTCAAAAGGAAGACTACAAGCCTAGTTTTCAGCCTTAAAATGATTGTTTTCTCAAAGCTAATGTTTTCAAAACAGCAGTGGATCTATTACCTATATTTAAAGGGACCTGAGCAAACTATAAACATCCAAGTCAGACGTCCTACCCTGGAAGATGCCACTGCCCCTGATAGGGAGACAGAAATGACACAATCTTTGAGTTCCCTTCCAACATGAACCATTCTGTGACTCAATGTGTAACTAGGAGTCAAACACTGAGAGGCAATTAATGTTACTGAGTTGCAACAAACTCCCAGTGGTGT